AGGCGCAGCACCCGCTCTCTGCTGCGGCTAGCGGGCACTGGGCACAGCAAGTTACATGCACAGGAGCAGTGTGTTTCCATATGTTCATGAAATTTTAAACTTCAACATCAGGACCGTGCTTCAAGAGGAGAATTTTAGTTTTGGCTTGAGAAAAGGGTTTAATTGAGAATTTCCAAAGTGAGCATTTCACACTGTGGAAGTCAAGAACTATGGTCTCAGTGAAGGCCTTTCAGCTTGTCACCTAAAGATTTTAGACCTTGTTTTAATTTGGCGTATTAATAATACCTTAAAAACACTATCATCTCAGCCCTTCACTACTGCAGCATCAAAATCACATCCCCAGAAAACGGAGTGTGTGGAGTACCACATCGACATTTAATATGTTCTTACAAATCTTTGCCAAAGAGACAGAAAGCCCCTGTTAATTTTAACAAAAGCCCTCCAAAGACCTGATGTATGCCCTGATTATGGTTCTCTTGATGGCAGAGATAGCATAGAGAAAACCCAGCCTTCATAATTTTCTACGGCTTTTGCATAGTATTACTAAAGATACAGCAACTTTCATACGAATGCTGAAAATTTAGGTGTATCACTAAATACTCTTACAGGCTCACACTGAGATACTCAACTTAGAAATTCACTTCTAAACTTTAAATCTTTTGTACCAGGAATAGTGTGGCCAGCAGGAGCAGGGAGGTGATGGTGCCCCTGTACTCGGCCCTGGTGAGGCCGCACCTGGAGTACTGTGTTCAGTTTTGGGCCCCTCCCTACAAGAAGGACACTGAGGTGCTGGAGCGTGTCCAGAGAAGGGCAACGAGGCTGGTGAGGGGTCTGGAGAACAGGTCTTACGAAAAGTGGCTGAAGGAACTGGGATTGTTACGTCTGGAGAAGAGGAGGCTGAGGGGAGACCTTATTGCTCTCTACAACTACCTGAAAGGAGGGTGTAGTGAGGCAGGTGTTGGTCTCTTCTCCCAAGTAACTAGCGATAGGACGAGAGGCAATGGCCTCAAGTTGTGCCAGGGGAGGTTTAGATTGGATGTCAGGAAACATTTCTTTACTGAAAGAGTGGTCAGGCATTGGAACAGGCTGCCCAGGGAGGTGGTTGAGTCACCATTCCTGGAGGTGTTCAAAAAACATGTAGATGTGGCACTTCAGGTCATGGTTTAGCAGGCATGGTGGTGTTGGGTGGATGGTTGGACTTGATGATCTTACAGGTCTTTTCCAACCTATCATTCTATGACTATGATCTCTAGAAACAACTAACAAAACACAAAAAGCAAGAACATGTT